TTAGCATTAATATGCCCTGCTTTCCTGCGGGAGTAGCTATCAATACATATTGTGACATTTAATAAACATAAATGCTGCTTTTATGGGAAAGTATTCTAAGTATTCTGAATACAGTACCAAGATTAAACAAAGTAACGGAATACATTACAGAATACATTTTAAAGCAAGTATTCAGTATTCTGTAACTAAATACATTTACAAAGTATTCTCCCCAACACTGGCAATGAAAGGAAATCTGATGTGCTTGCCATTTTGCTGGAAGTTGCACTCCCAAGGATTTTTGACCCTAATGGCCATCCATCGGTAAGGTCTTATTTGAACAAAAATAATGCTTGCTTGCATTGATTTAGGCATGTACTGCCCCCTATCGCCAGGGAAAATACACACTGTCACTTTAAGGCATTGTGACCTTTACCACACACACACACACACACACACACACACACACACGCACACACACACACACACACACACACACACACACACACACACACACACACTTTTTTTGCAAGGAGTACAGCTGTTGTGTTTTCTTCTCCCTCTGTGTTGTCTCGCTTTCTCCTGTTCAGTAAACATGGTCCTTCTGAACATACAGATATTACACGTGTGTACTTTACCAGACCCTGTGTGAGAGTGTGAGAGAGTTTGTGAGAGTGAGCGAGGTCTATTGAAGTGGTAACATTTTTTTCACCCACATTGTCTCTTTGAAGTCCTGATGCCTCTTCATATTTTAAATATGACCTCTACAAGTGCATGTGCACACACACACACACACACACACACACACACACACACACACACACACACACACACACACGTGCACACACCCTCACACAGTGAAGGAGAGAAAGAAGGGTTTTCCCTGTGAATGAGGCTCCATTCTCAGCTTCACAATGACCCTGCAAAGATGGATTGGGAGATTGCCCTGTGAAGTGATCCATGAACACAGATAGGATTTTTTTTTTGGGGGGGGGGGGGGGGGCGATCTGTGTGTGTCCTGCACCTTATCTGACTTAGCAGCACTTCTGTTTGAGCAAGATGGGTGGGTGCTCAGGGGCATGTAAGGCCAAGGGCAAGGACAAGAGGAAAGCACCCTATCAATGAGTCAGTTGGGAAGAAGGGGCCAGGGTGGGCTGGGATAGGACAGGATGTGTGTGTCCCATGCAGTGGCGGATATAGCAATTTGGGGGCCCAAGGCGTACACAGACATGGAGCCCCCTTACACTAAATTTTGACAATCTTACAGTAATTGGATTAGCGAAACTCTACCCTCATCTGAGGTGAGTTGTTTTCACTTTTTATTAGTCCTCCTCTTTTTTTTTCCTGTCTTTCTCTCCCTTTGAGTGCTTTCAATATTTGCTCTGCTTTCTTCTTCCTGTCCGTGCTCCTATGCTTTTGCCTTTATTTTATTTTCTATTTTCCATTTTGGTCTATGTTTTCCTCCCTTTAAACATTTTCCATTGTCTTTCCTTTCTGCTTCCTTTTGATGTTTACATAGAAAATTGACGTCACTTTTAGAAATGAAGATAAAAGCTTTTTTAAAGCAAGCTGCTTCTTTCTCTTACTGGAGCCACTAGGATAACTCCATTTCATGCTTCATGTTTTGACTACCGCTTCAAGTTTGTTATGAACACTCCCCCCTCCCTTCTTCTTTTTCTGCTTTCTCTTCTTCTTGTTTGTGGTCTTATGGCACTTGGCAAACAACAATTTGGTGCATTACTGTCACCAACTGGTTTGGACTGGAATGACTACCAATCACTCCCTGTTTGTGCATTGGCGTCTTAAAGGAATAGTCCATTTTGGCATTAACAGAGGGGTGCCAACAGTCAGGGCTAGGGGGCCCCCCAACATAAGGTGGCCCCAGGCGGCCGCCGACCTATGCCTAATGGTAAAACCGCCACTGGTCCCATGTCATTTACACACAGACAGGTCTGGTTTATCATGGTGCAGACAACTCAGAAACTTCTCTTAAATGTTTCTAAATCGTTACACAATCTTGCTCCATCCTAATTCTCTGAGCTACTGCAGGAACAATCCTCATCTCGGTCACTCGGGTCATCCGACCAGCTCAGAGGGGACAGAGAGGTCTTCCCTGTTGCTGATCCCAAACGGTGGAACTATGCCAGCACATTTCAGAAAGGTCTCCTGACTAGAAAAGATAAAACAATTGTCAAAGACCCACTATTTTCTTTGGCTTTCAACCTATGAGCTTTTTGCATTTTAATTGCTTTTATGAACTATTTTGTGTTATAAAGATTTTTTAACTTTACTTTTAATGTTATTGCTTTATCTTGTGAAATGTTTTCATGCACTGGTGTTTGTTACACACCGACTCTGATGTAAAATTTACGCGTGTGCATTATAAAAATATTGCCAAGCAAAAATTGTAAATCTTTATTAAAAGCCATTTACAATAAGATTTGCATTAAACACCTGGTTAAAAATATGATAAAAGTTTTACTGTTGATCAATCAGAGTTAGTTAACCTTAATGTCAAAGAGGAAATTACCCTAGCTTAGACTGTCTGAGCAGTCAAACCTCAAATCCTCTATGGATCTCCATCTCCAGCTAACAATTTTAGTTAACCTTCTCAACACAAAAGGGGTTTAAAACCAAGATGAGGCCTGGGAGACAGCAGAACCCATGCACAGTTGCCTCCCAGACTGCTGGATGGCACAGCCTTTTCATAACAGGTGTTCATTGCTAGGTTTCACTCACGTGATGTCTGCAGCCGAGCAAAACTCAAATGGGGGACAGGAACTGTTTTGCTCCGCAACAAAACACAGATACAACACAGCGCAATGGATGAAAGCAAATTTACTATGGCTTTAAATGGGCATGCCCAGCACCATTCTTCTTCTGGCACTCGAAGAGTACAGACGCTTCCCTCTATCACTCCCTTATCTTTTTTCCCCAAGCCTCTTTGTCCTGTCTGCCCACAGAGTACTTCTCTGCATTTCTTCTGAAAAACTATTTTTACTAACCATGGATTTGATAAACTGGTCATTCAATGTGATCGATAAAAATTTTTCAACAATTAGAACGGAGCAGGGGGCTCCCACATGTCCACAGGGGACGCACCCGGTGGGATATGTTTTGGATTCCTAAAAGGAGTGGAAGATCATATGCCTCTCCCAGGTGTCCATTGAGGACATTGAAGACATGTGGATATTTGGCCTGATGATCACTGGATTTCTCCTGATAGGAGTGGGAGGATATCTGGTTTTCTGGAAATTTGGGAGGACAAGAGCGATTGGAGGGTGACCCGCACCCACGGAAAGCACCGTCCGTGTGAAGATTTCTCAGACTGGGACGTTACTCGAGGTGAATTGTAAGCTGGACAATGTTCTAGCTGCGATACCGGTATTAGTGCACAAAATGGATGTCATCTCGGAGAGAGTGACCGGACGGTATGAACAAGTTTAAGTTTAAAACCCAAAATTGGCTTCACTGAAGGACTGGAAATGATCAGTTTAAAGACTGATGGCAGAGAGGAAAGTTATCTCAGCCTAATCCAAACAAATTCTTGTTATCTGAATCTGACACCCTGGTAGCCTTGAGCTGCAATCAACTAAAACCCCCCACAAAGGAATGCAGACAGGAATGCTGTGAAAACCCGACCTAAGCCCCCCCTAAGGTCCTCCTCCTTCTGGACATCCCCCTCCCCCATGATGGAACAGAATTGTTACCATTATTTCAGAGGAGCCAAGTTCCACCTGGGGCCCCTGAGCCTGGGCCAGCCTCTGCCATGTGTTTCCACCTTCCTCCCGGCAGCTTTCAAGTTAGTACCCAATCCCCAGGACCCCGCCCAGATCCCCTCACAGGGGCGACCGTCAAAGCTGACTGATAGATCCACCTCCCATTTTCCAATAGGAATTGCTATTGTATTGTCCATTTTGGACAGTGTCTTATAAACTTTAGACAGTAGTTTGGGGCGTTTGAGGTTACAGAAGTCTAATAACCTTGGACAGTGTTGGGCAAGTTACTTCAAAACTGTAATGCATTATTTATTACTTGTTACCCTCATTTTAAAGTAATTCATTACATTACAATATTACTGATTTTAAAATGTAAGGCATTACACTACTTTTGCATTACTTTAAGTTACTTTCACCAAAACAACTTCAATATGAATCTGGTAATGTGACGCTCAGTGAGCTCATGACATATATGTGGAAAGTGATGTGGTGTCTGAGCTAGGATTGCTGTTAAAAACAGTCAGATATAATAACAGTGCTTTAAAATGATTGTTTGTTAAATAAAAACAACAACAATCTGTACTCTCAGCACGCTGCCATCTTATATTAACTGATCAGGGAGTGAGGTGGTGGGGGCTCCAAGCCTATATTTGCCTTGGTCCCCAAATGCCTTGATACGGCCCTGGATGTGGGACTGACTTCTGGAGTGATCTGATTCTATCACATGTATAAATATTAAATGCTTATCTATTATTGCTTTTCACTGGTAAAAATGTGTATTGGGGATAAATCTACCTATTTTTTTTCTTTTCAAGCACTTTGTTTTGTTTTCTTGATTTTATGTGAATAATTTCCTGCCCTTTCTCTCTCTAACCTTCCTGCATGCTGCATGTTTTCTCCGTCTTCCAGAAAAAACTGTTTCCTAGACTTCGTACTTTCTAACTATCAGCCAAAGGGATCTTCACATGCGCGGCGCTCCAGCAACAATGAGTTGAAATCACCGGGGCACAGATTATGAACTCAGCTGAGGCAAAGCACATCAGAAAAGCACAAAATACTAGAGAATATGCGCTGATATGAACGATCGCAGGTGAATTATTTTGTTTTAGTGGAGCGATTTTGTGAATGTTACAGCGGCCGCGTGCAGAACGCAGCTGGAGTAGTTGAGCCGTTACCGCGGCGCAAAGCTGAGTCCATAAATGACGTAATATATGCAGATACTGGATCTTTCTTCGGGGTTCCCGCAATTTGAATTTTTAAGGAACACTTGATTCTGGGTTTAAAAATGCATTGTAATTACCACGTTACTGACGATTGTACCGAGTAAATATTACCATTTTCTTTCCCTGTAATGCCTTACATTACCACATTACAGCAAAAAGCAATGCATTACAGTAATTAATTACTTTCGTACCGCATTACTCCCAACACTGACCTTGGAGGTGTTTGTAATTCAACTTTATTAAGCTTACATTTTTGTTTAATTACAGATTTAATTTGGTGATATTCTAAAAAAATATGTTTGTCTATCCCAAATTGGGAGACTGTTCTGTTAAATGGGATGAAGTCCGATCCTTCATATATGTGTTCCAGGTATAGGATTCCTTTATTTTTCCAGTCCAGAAAGTTCATAATTTTATTGTTTTGCAAAATATCAGGATTATTCCAGATGGGTGTGCATCTGCATGGTATTAGTGAACTCTGGAATTTTTAGATACTCCCACCATGCTGCCAGAGAGGTGCTGATATTAATACTTTTGAAGACTTTTTGTTGTCTTATGCTTGAGCTAATAAATGGTAAGCCTGAAAGCTCTATCGTATTGCAAAGTGTCTGTTCTATATCTAACCAGGACTCATCTAGTAGGTTATCTTGCAACCATCTTGGTATATATTGCAGCCTGTTGGCTAAGAAATAATGATAAAAGTTGGGTAGATCCAGTCCTCCTCTGTCTTTGGTATTCTGAAGCGTTTTTAAGCTAATTCGTGGAGGTTTATCCTGCCAAAGAGTTTAGTGATTAAGGAGTCCAGAGATCTAAACCAGTCAGATGGTGGCTCGTTTGGGATAGTTGAAAATAAGTAATTTATTCTGGGTAAGACCATCATTTTAATTGTAGCAACACTCCCCATGAGTGATATTGGTAGGATTTACAGCTTGCAAGATTTTCCACTTTCTTTAAAAGTGGGATGTAGTTTAGTTTAGTTAGATCTGCCAGCTTGGGAGAGATATTAATTCCCAGGTATGTGATATTCCCTGACTACAATCGTGTATTAAGCAAATTGACAAAAGAAAAATTAATTGGTAGAACTGTGGATTTTAGCTGGTTTATTGTGTAATCTGAAAGTGTTGAAAGAGTTTATCAGTTCAATTGCTTTTGAGAGAGAGGATTGAGAATTCTGGAGAAAAAGTAACATCATCTGCATAAAGACTGATTTTATGTTCTATGTTCTTACACTTTATGCATTTAATACCTGTTGTTTGCCTGATTGCTGCTGGTAGTGGTTTTATAAAGATAGCAAACAGTGAGGGGGAGAGTGGGCATCCCTGCCTGGTCCACCTCTGAAGACAAAAGCTAGCTGATATTTGGTCGATTGTCCTGACACGTGCTGTTGGTGAACTGTATAATGTTTGTAGCCAGTTTATGAAGAAGTTCCCAAAACCAAATTTATATAAAGTTGCAAATAAGATCTTCCAGTTAACTCTATCAAAAGCCTTTTCTGCATCTAAAGATTATATACTAGTTTCTATGTTTCTACTGCAAGAGAAATCTATCAAATTAAGTAATCTACGTGAGTTTGTGGATGACTGTCTCCCCTTAATGAAACCAGTTTGGTCAGGGTGTATTATGAAGGGGGTTACCTTCTCTACTCTTTTTGCCAGGGCTTAACAAATTATTTTGAGATCAACATTAATAAGAGAAATTGGGCAATAGCTGGTAGGAAATACAGGGTCTTTGTCTGGTTTTAACAAAAGACTAATATTGGCTGAATTCATGTTTGGCTGTAATCTGCCGCTCTCTTCGATTTCCCTCACCATTCTGAAGAATGTTGAAGCCAGAATGATCCAGAATTCTTTGTAGAACTCTGCTGGAAACCCATCTGGACCTGGAGCTTTCCTATTAGTCATGGATTTAAGGGCTTCCTGGAGCTCAGCTGATGTTAGTGGCGAGTCCAGGACTGTAGCTTGGCTATCTGATAATTTAGGAAGCGTTATCCTGTGAAGAAATTCATTGATCTCATTATCTGATGGGGTTATCTGTGGTGAGTACAGAGTTTGGTAAAAGTCTCTGAAAGTGTTGTTTATTCTTTCAGGGTCATAAACTATATTCCCGGTTGAGTCTTTAACAGCAGATATGGTAGTTTTCTCTTTTTAACTGGCTAGCGAAAAATTTGCCTGATTTATTACTATGTTCAAAGTTTTCTATTCGTAGTCTTTGTGCTAAAAATTTTGTCTTTTTGTCGATAATTCCATGAAGTTCTAGTTGAGCTTTACGTAATTTGCTCATTAACTCTTCTTCTGTGGATGCCTCTAAAGACTTAAAGGAGGCATAACATGCTTTTAAGTTATTCCTTTTTACATCTAAATCCTTCAGTTGGGGTCTAAATACAGTGGAACTGCAGTTCTTTGGTCTGATTTCCTCATTATTGTTGCTCTACAGACCCTCATCTACCTCTGTTCTGAGGAGAGTCTTGAGAACGAGCCGTTTTTGGGTACTGTCTCTTTAAATCTGGAGGAGCTGTAAACTACGCCCCCCTCCACAGTGCAGACCTGTACTCTCCTCCCCCAGTCGGACTTTTTAGTTCTATAGAGAAATCATTATTTAGCATAAGCATTTTTAAAACATGTGGGGAGAGTTGTTCATCAGGCTGTTTCAAGGCTGCTAACTCTTCTCATGCATTTGTCTGTAGTCACTCACACACACCCGTCACGGCCGACGGAGGGACAAGTGAGCAGGCACGCGCGCACACACACACACACAAGGAATGCTGCTTGCTTATTTATTTCTATAAAAAATGTTTTTTAAAATGATACAGCTCATTAAAACACCATTAAAAGAATACATTTTATTAAGATCTCTATCCATCTATATCTATATATACATATAATTATGAATAATTTTATAAGTAGTCTTATTTTATATTGGGTGTCTTAATGGCTGAAAATGGATAAAAAGCAGTTACATTTTAATTTAAAGATTTGAGATTCTAGTCAAAAATAAAGAACATTTCTCCAAATGTACTTTAATGTGATTATTATAATTCTACTGCTTACAACTTTGTTTTTATTGTCTGCAATGCATAGCCTATATCTTTATTAAATATGTGTTTAGCTGTAACGTGGTAATTCTCTCTAATGTGTACACAGAGGTGGACATCAGTGCTGCAGTGAAATTCCCAAGATCAGTCTGCTTTGCTAACAAATATAGTTAAATCTTACCTGCATTCTAAATAAATGCCGTTAGGTCAAAACATCAGTAGGCATTGAGTTATTGATAAAATCCCTAACAGCCAGAATGGAAGAAGAGCATGCTGGGTCATCCTGGACCTGAGCCTGTTCTGTGTATTTACCTACAGGATGCAATAAATGTCTACAAGGCTGAGTTTGGACCATTACATCTAAAAGAAAACAAACAATCAGTGATTTTTTTTAATTGTTTACATTAATATAAAAAAATTTCTAAGTATTAACCTCACAGCAAATAAGTAGAACAATATAATAAACAGGCTTTAGTAGTTAAACAGGCGTTGTGCACACAGGTGCTTTGTGTCCCGGTGCTGGTGGTGTCTCAGAGTTCCTGTCCTCCTGCCGTCTTCTGTTGTCCTCAGGATAGGAACTGATGTTTCCTGATGATGAGGGAGGGGCAGTATGTGGGCTTCAAACTGGTCCTGGATAACAGTGGGAGACCTCCATTGTCTGATTACTGAGACCAGAGGGTTGGTGAGATGCTGATCTTCACTACCTCATCTAGAAAAGGAGTTGGTTCAGGGAAAACTTTTCCAATGACCAGTTCCATGATGTCATCACCATATTCTGCAATGATAGACAATAACATTAATGACATATTTTGTTTACAAGCAGCTTTAGGAAAGTTGGTTCTTTAGCTTTCATGTTTATAGTCACGTTTGTGTTGTTTCGGTTTACTTTGTTTACAAGTTCACTTTGCTGCAGTGACTTCATATTTTCCTACAAATGTAATAAAATAGTGACACTAAAATTATACGAATGATTCCTTATGAAAGGAAGCTCATTAGAGAGCAGTGCAGACAGACTTACTACATGCTGCAGCTGTTTTTGTAGGCCAGCTGCTGCTGAATTTGGGGAAAATTATTCTGTACACATCCAGATCAGATGGTCGATTACAGAAAATAATGTAATTCAATAATTTCTAAACAGACTAAACAAGTAAAACATCAAATAAATCACTCTGCTGTCATCAGATGGAGTGATTCAGGGGGTGAGGTGTGCTTAATGATGAGGGTGGCTGAGGAGTAGGGCTCAAGTGTCATCACTCACTTTGGTCTGGTCCAGACCGTCTCTTTACTGGTGCGTCTCCTTCCTCAGTAGGTGACGTGAAGCTCCAACATCTGAACGTTCTGTGTTCCTTAGAGGAGAAGAAAAGTAACATTAGCAAGCTGGCTAAATTATTTTTTACTAGCATCTCAAGGCCTTGGAGAAGCAGATCTTCACTTACCTAAACATCAGACCAGTTTGTCCCAGCTGAGCTCATCAGGGCGTTAGTCTGACAGCCTGTCAGTGAAACATGGCTCCAGCCTTCTGGATGTGGACTCTAAAAAGCAAAGGAGCATTTTTACTTTTGTTTTAATTATTTTACAGCTGATTTTATCAGCTTTCCGACGCTCACGCTCATACAGACGGTGAGCTTCGCTGCGTCTGACTGATGCAGAGTTAGTTTTTACATCTGCAATGAGACAAAAAACTAACCTCACTTCACTCAGAGATTGTTCTTTAAAACTCTATTAAATCCACTGTGTTGACGCACTTTAATGACTTTGTCACGCTGCATTTTAGCTGATATGGGACTTTATTTACTGGATGCTAAGATTACATCACACTCATGTAGAATAACACACAGGCTCTCTGCTGCTACAATCAGTGGAAGGTTATCATCTGTTGTTCTGTTGATCAGAAATCCCAGATCACGTTTTATTCCACGAAAATCGGCCAAATCCACATTAATCTGGGTGCTAACTTTACTAGCATACTGTGCTAGCGATAGCAAGTTGGATGCTAACGCTTTAGTGCTGCTAATGCCCGTAAAGCTAAAGTAAAGTTTGTCGACATTTTAGAGTGATATGAAGCTTACCGCTCTGCTGCTGTGTCCCGTTGCTGCCACATTCAGATAGAAATGACTCCTTTTAGATAGATGAAGCCCTCAGTACTTATAGCCTGGGAGACACGAACGAACGAACGAACCACGTGCGTGCGCGCGCGCACACACACACACACACACTACTTCTGTGTTTTTTTAGCAGTAGCGTCATCAGCTCCTGGGTTTAAATACTGCCACACCACCCTTCCTTAAAACGAGGAACAGTTTTGAGCTGTGTGTGGCTAAAATAACCAGACATTCTGCATTTTTCCAATAGGACTACAAAAAATCTTAGTGAGAAGAAAAAATGGCGGATTGGCTCTGTGTTTAGCCGAGGGCCATTACCATATTTGGTAGTTATCCTGACGAAATAAATTACTGATGTAATAGGTCATTTGAAAAACTGAACGGGTGGACAAATATGCCCAAAACTTAATTATTAAATATCTAAATAGCAACTCCAGTGAATAATATAAGCCGTTTTGCTCACTTAGACACTTAAAATGTGAAACACACTGTGTTAATGGATAAAAAAGTGGGGCTTTCATGTTATGTCTCCTTTAATGATTTCCTCTAACTCCTGAATACGTTTGTTTTCTGTTTTTTTATTATGTGATGAGAAAGAGATTATTTTACCTCTCATCACTGCCTTTCCTGCCTCCCAGAGAACAGATGCTGACTGTTCCAGGCAGGTCATTATGTTCTAAATATAAAGCCCACTCCTTTTTAAAAAATTCTATAAAACCTTCGTCTTTGAGCAGTGATGTATTAAACCTCCAGTTTTTGTTTGGTGGGATTGTCTTCTTATTTACCAGAGTTAAAGAAACCGGAGCATGGTCGCTGACAACTATGGGGTGTATCTCAGTGTCTGAAATGTCAGCCAACAATGAGCTGCTGACTAGAAAATAATCCAAACTTGAATGAGAGTGATGGACGTGTGAGAAAAAAGTATGCTCTCTAAGGTTAGGATGAAGAGATCGCCATGACTCACAAAGCCCATAATCACTCATGCACTGTTTAACTATTTTAGTCGATTGCCAATTGCGCTGAGTCCCAGCTGTACTGAGCCTGTCTGTTAAAGAGTTCATCCAAAAATTTAAAATGCCTCCAAGTATAAGTGGACAGTCCAAGTGTTCGGAGAGTACAGAGAAAAATTTATGAAAGAATGAAGGGTCATCAATATTTGGACAGTATATGCTGACAATACATACGCTTTGGTTCTGTAAAGATATTTTTAACATTATAAATCTACCCTCTGGATCAGAGACTGTGTCCAATACTGTGAAATTGATGTTTTTGTGTATTAAAATAGCTACACCTCTTTGCCTAGAGTTATAGCAGGCAGAGAACATGCTTGGAAACTCAGGTGTTTTAAGTTCATCTGCGGATGTGGCAGATCTATGAGTCTCTTGTAATAATATTACGTCTGCTTAGGCTCTCTTTAGCTGATTAAAAATCTTTAATCTCCTCTCTAGAGCCAGCTCCATGTACGTTCCATGAGACAAACCTTAAGCCGGGCATACACTGTGCGACTTTTTCCCTTTTTTGAGCCGATTTTCCAGTCGTGCGAGAATCCACGACATCGGGGCGAGTTTTGCGCCGAGCGGTCGTGTAGTGTACAGGGGGGTTACGAGAGGCGATTAACATCACATGACCAGCTGCCGATCAGCAGTCGTGAGGTCGCACGGACTTCTGGAGTGTTTGATATTTTGCTCATCCCTCGTGAGGGTATCGCACTGTTGAAGCAGCGCTGCGAGCAGCTGCGACCCAAAAAGTATCAGAACCGCTCACGGCGCATGCGCAATCCTGCATCAACGCCGCTCGCTCGCTATTTCCCTAATAACACACGCTGTTCGTTTTTGTTTCTACACGTTTTTTACTCACAAAGATTGTCAAGAAAGCGTGTTTGTCGTGTTCATGTCAAATTAAACTGATCACAAAACACAGATTTACTTTCTTTATTTCGTTTTCCTCATCCAACCCCCATAAATCCCTGTGTGTCCTCCTGCAGCACTCCCGAAGGACAACAGGCAAAACAAGACCAAAAAGTCTGACGTGTTGTGTAAAAACTGCTATTTTTAGCATATTTTTAGGGCCGACGTGTTGCTACCAGACGTACAGTATGAGCAGTCAGATCACATACGAGAACTGGGTCGTACAGTGTGAGCACATGACTCGTGAGATCTGCCCTGCGAGGAAGTCGTACAGTTTGAGCTGAAGCTGAACGCTGCGAGTGAAAAAGTCGCACAGTGTACGCCCGGCTTTAGTGCACCCATAGATGTGTGTGTGAGTAGCTAGAATATGACGGCTTCATGTGTATGACAAAAAATAAGTAACTCAACGCACAAATTAATCTGATAGTAAATAATAAAAATAAGGGTATTATTATTATTAGCAATAATAATAATAATAATAATAGTAATGATATTAAAAATACTAAAAATGATTTAATTTTAATGATATAAATATAAAAATATTAATGCTGATAATGATAAATTATTAATAACAATAACAATAATAATAGTAATAATAATAATGCTGATTATGATGATGATAATAATAATTATAATAATAATAATGCTGAAAAACTTATAATAATGCTGATCATGCTGATAATAATATAAATAATAATAAATAATAATAATAATTATGTGTTTGCTGAACTTACAGCCATTTTCCCTCAGCTTTCTCCGTGTCTGGTTCGATGATGTCACTTTCGTGAAGCGCATTTGTAGTCCTGGACTTATTTTCACACAAAACCTAAAATATTGTCCCCCCATTCGAAAATAAGTGCATTCTTGGTATCAAAATGCATCTTTAAAATTCACGGATATAATATGTGAAATCCACGGCACAAAACAAGCAGAATTAGAAAATAGCATTTTATCCCCGTTGATTTGCACACATACACATACATACATGTATGTATGTATGTATGTATGTATGTATATATATATATATATATATATATATATATATATATATATATATACATATAAACTCTCAGCAAGGAGGTTGATTTAACCTGAAAGTTAGTATGGACCAAAGTGCTAAAAAAATAAACAGCTGACCTTCCTTTGTGCCGTAGTTTGTTGTGCTTTAAGCCAACAACACTGTGAGTTTTCACGTTTTTGAACGTTTTAAAGATGAAATCAAAAGTCAACAATGCAGCTACTATCACAGTTAACCCTGAACTTTTGTCCTCCATGCGGCAGCCCTGGCATTACTTTCTATTTGAGAGACTGATGTGGTCAGCAGTATGAGACTGCCTGCTGGCTTCCCACTGTCTCTTTAACCATCTACTTATTGTTACCATAAAGCTGCTGAAAGAGCCTCACTTCAAAAGTCACATGCTCCAGCTCCCTTTGTTTCCCACAGGATCTGAATGTGGGACAGAGAGGACATGACTCAAACAAGAGGACAGGATCAGACTACAGCTGGTGGGAGATTTTTTGTTTGAAGTCACTGCAAAGTTATTTCCAAGTAATACTACAACTACTACCACTACTACTACCACACTGTAGTGTAAAGTACTTTAGAGTCCTCTGACTCTGAAAGGTGCTATACAAGTGTAAATCATTTGTCATTTACTACTACTACTACTACTTATACTAATAATAATAGTAATAATAAAAGTGGTTATCAGATGAAGAGTTTTATGAATGAATGAACAAAGGCGACCAAACAACAGTGGGCTGATTGTGTTTTATCTCAGCTCACATGCGAATCAGAAAGGATCTCATAACATCTCAATATTTCAATGAATCAGAATATGAATCTTAACAAGATTCCAAAGTAAAATGTGAAAGTGAGAGGTTCTGGTCAGAGCGACCCGGGACGCTTCACTCGCAGTCAGGAAAGTGTGTAAACTTCTGTTTTCATCATTGTACGTTTTTGTGAGTGTTTTGAGACTGTTGTTTTGAGATTGTCATCACATAAAGCACAATAAAATGTATTATTGTTATTAAATTTATTATGATGTGTTTCTGTTTGGAGTTGTGTTGTTTTCTTTACCCTGACAACAACAAAGTGAGCCTTGAGGACAGTGGCCAGAGAGGAGGCTCTATTCAGGCATTACGGTAGTGAATCCAGCAGCCAGAGAGGAATTCCAGGAATGCTCAAAGGCTCTGACTCAAATTGAAACTAGACTTGGATCTTCTGAGTTTACACAGCAGCTGTGTCCACGAACAAGTTGGTTCTGATCCAACAAGCTCTCTCACCACTAATATGTTCTACTGGCTGAATAAAGCAGCTCAAAGAGGAACATCTGTGTCTAAAGATCCAGTTCACACTTGGACTGGGTCAACCACCATCACCCAAAACAGGATTCTGCCTGGTAACAGCAGGTCCTCCCATTGGTCCAACCCCTGTGTGTGTGTGTGTGTGTGTGTGTGTGTGTGTGTGTGTGTGTGTGTGTGTGTGTGTGTGTGTGTGTGTGTGTGTGTGTGCGTGTGTGTGTGTGTGTGTGTGTGTGTGTGCGTGTGTGTGTGTGTGTGTGTGTGGATCTAGTAGGGTTAGGGTTCTGAATGGAGGTCTCATTTTAGTGATGTCACATGTTCTGGACCATGTGGTTCCTGCTGATCTGAACCCAGTAGGGCTCACAGGGAACCTAGCAGAATCCAGTAGAACCAAAACTCCACCAGTAGGTGTGAACTGAACAGAACCAGGGTCCTCTGTGGAACTCAGTACCAGAACTACAGAGTTGGACCAGTACTCGGTCTAGTTTTGGGTCGTGATAAGGTGAGATGAATGAGTTACTTCCCCCTCCTCCTTGTGTCCTCTGCTGTTCATTCACACCGAACCGAACCGGCAGCAGGACAAAGGGGGAGGGTCACTGCCGCCCCCTGCCGCCTGTTGGGCCCGGAGGCCCGGTCCCAGACCTCCCACCTCCTCCTAGGGCTAGAGGGAGGAGGGCTCTTCCTGCTCGCGCGCTTGCAGACCGCTTCTCTTTGATCTCACCTCCTCCCACCGCGGCCCCGCCCCTTAACAACAGCCTACGTCACCCGCCTTTACTTGTTCCCAAGCGAAAAAGCCGTTTGTGTGTGGGCGTACAGACACGCGCGCGCAGGGAGGTGCGCGCGGAGGTTTTGTTCGCCAGAGCGAGGCGGTCCGGACCTCAGAGGACTCGCGCACACCAGAGGGGCAGCAGCACACGGAGCAGCCCTGACACCGGGATTCAAAAATACCAGATAGAAAAGACACCGGGCCGGTTCTAGCAGGACACTTGTACCGAACCGGTTCTCTCTGTGTTCCGAGCCAAACCATGGATGAGCAGCTGCTGTGCTGCGAAGTGGACTCCATCCGGAGAGCCTACCAGGACGTGAACCTGTTGAATGACCGGGTCCTCCGAACCATGCTGCGGGCCGAGGAGAACTACCTGCCGGCTCCGAACTACTTCAAGTGCGTCCAAAAGGAAATAGCTCCTAAAATGAGGAAGATCCTAGCGACCTGGATGCTGGAGGTGAGTTTTGATTGTCCCTGGGAATGGTTCCGGTTCTGATCCGGCTGCCCCATCCAGCTCCGGTTTGGACTGCCGTACCGAAGGCAGTGAGGTCGAACCGATCCGGATTTACTCCAGAATTCACAGTAATGTACACGTATGCAGTCCGGCCCAGCAGGTCCGGACAGTGCGCCATCTTTGCCACCGACGAGATAGGATTTAAAGTCCGTTAAAACCAGTCAGACATCAGCCAGAACCGAGCCGGACCCACCAGGCTCCACAGAAACCAGACCAACTTCAGTTCCACTGGGTCTAAAACTGTCTTGGTTCCGAACGGCTCCGCTGAGGATGGCAGACCAAAAAAAAAAAACAGTTTTAAAGGATGAAAGGGTACCAAATGGGTCTGAAGGTTCGGCTCAGTGTCTCCGGTGTTCTCACGCGTCTGCAGAAAGACTCGGTCCTATTCTGGTCATTTTTATTCATTTTACAAGCTGCCTGGACCGGTCTGGTCCGGACCCGAACCGAGCACGCGAAGGAGCCTCGTGCCCAAACCCAACAGGTCCCGAGGGGCCGGTGTGTCCGAACGTACCGAGTTCTGGTGATTAAAGTGTGTGTGTGTGCGTGTGTGAGATAGAGAGAATGTGTGTGTGCGTGCGTGTGTGTGTGTGAGACAGTGCGTGTGTGGAGGACTCACCTGTCCGCTCCTCTCCCTTCAGGTGTGTGAGGAGCAGAAGTGTGAGGAGGAGGTCTTTCCTCTGGCCATGAACTACCTGGACCGGTTCCTGTCCGTGGAGTCCAGCAGGAAGAGCCGCCTGCAACTGCTGGGAGCCGCGTGCATGTTCCTGGCGTCCAAGATGAAGGAGACGGTTCCGTTAACGGCGGAGAAGCTCTGCATCTACACGGACAACTCGGTCCAGCCCGGAGAGCTGCTGGTAAGGGCTTTAGGACCGTGTGGGAGGCTGCTGCAGGCACACCAGCAGATCAGGTGTTTAGAAGAAGAAAAAGTTTCTCATTTAGCAAACATCAAGATAAAGAATCACGAGGCTCTTCACAAGAGCCAACAATAAATACTAATATAGAAAATAAAGTAAACAGGAGAGCCTGAGAGAGACAGAAACACCAGCATGAAAAGAAGCCAGTGAGGAAGAAGAGGAGATCAACCTCATCTTCATCACTAGCATCTTTTTTGAGGTGTCAAAAACCAGAACAAAGGTCACGTCACACTTCACCTGCAAGGTTGTCCTCTCCTCACGTGTGTCCATCCCACCAGAAGGTTGTGGGAGATGGAACAAATAGTGTTCTTCTGGAGCGTCTGACAGGCTTGTCTGGTGGTCTACACTGACCCCTAGTGGCCGAGAGGTGCAGCAGCAGGCAGACGCTGAGTTAACGTCTGATTGGTTGTTCTGGTCCACCCACAGCAGATGGAGCTGTTGGTTCTGAACAAGCTGAAGTGGGACCTGGCTTCAGTCACGCCTCATGACTTCATCGAGCACTTCCTGTCCAAACTGAAGATCCATTTGTCCACAAAGCAGATCCTCAGGAAACACGCCCAGACCTTCGTGGCTCTCTGTGCTACAGGTGGGTGCTGGACGTCAGGATTCAGGAGTGGATCCACACACACACGCACGCACGCACGCACACACACACACACACTAGTGTTGTCAAAAAAATCGATACCTAGATATAAATTGATACTAAAAGTGGTATCTAAATTAGATATTCCATCCCTGTGGTATCGATATTATGGACTATTATACACAGCCTTCTTCAAGTACACCAACACGCACGACAGCCAGATGCCGTAAAGAAGCCTCCGCCTCCCAGACAAACAGAAGAAGAAGATGCCGCATGGCTACATTGCAATTTCCCACGCGAGTTGTCTCCGATCCAAGTTTTGTCTGCCAAATAATAAACAAAAACATAAACAGCGAATTTGGGAGGCGCTTCACAGCCCAACTTCATTAGCATACCAAGTCCGACACGTAGTTGTATATTCACGCTTATGTGCTTAAAGGAAAACTCCCATTTATTGCAACCCGGACTTAATTTCTAGCATGCAGTACGTTTGTTTACTCACGCTGACAACTTTGGTGCTACTTGGATTCCCCGGGGTATTTAGATCCATCGGCAAATCGCCATCAGCGTACAGGTGCTGGCCAGTAAATTAGAATATCATCAAAAGGTTGAAAATATTTCAGTAATTCCATTCAAAACGTGAAACTTGTACATTATATTCATGCAATGCACACAGACCAATGTATTTCCGATGTTTATTACGTTTAATTTTGATATTTATAGGTGACAACCAATGAAAACATCAAATCTGGTATCTCAGAAAATTAGAATATTCTAAAGGCCAATGAAAAAATGTTTGTTTCTCGAATGTTGGCCAACTGAAAAGAATGAACATGAAAAGAATGTGCATGTATAGCACTCAATACTTAGTCGGGGCTCCTTTTGCCTCAATAACTGCAGTAATGCGGCGTGGCATGGACTCGATCAGTCTGTGGCACTGCTCAGGTGTTATGAGAGCCCAGGTTGCTCTGATAGTCGTCTTCAGCTCCTCTGCATTGTTGGGTCTAGCGTATTGCATCCTCCGCTTCACAATACCCCATAGATTTTCTATGGGGTTAAGGTCAGGCGAGTTTGCTGGCCAATCAAGGACAGGGATACCATGGTCCTTGAACCAGGTGCTGGTGGTTTTGGCACTGTGTGCAGGTGCCAAGTCCTGTTGAAAGGTGAAGTCTGCATCCCCATAAAGTTGGTCAGCAGCAGGAAGCATGAAGTGCTCTAAAACTTCCTGGTAGACGGCTGCATTGACCCTGGACCTCAGGAAACAGAGTGGGCCAACACCGGCAGATGACATGGCACCCCACACCATCACTGACGGTGGAAACTTTACACTGGACCTCATGCAACGTGGATTCTGTGCTTCTCCGCTCTTCCTCCAGACTCTGGGTCCTTGATTTCCAAAGGAAATGCAGAACTTGCTTTCATCAGAAAACATAACTTTGGACCACTCAGCATCAGTCCAGTCCTTTTTGTCCTTGGCCCAGGCGAGACGCTTCTTGCGCTGTTTCTTGTTCAAGAGTGGCTTGACACACGGAATGCGACACCTGAATCCCATGTCTTTCATGAGTCTCCTCGTGGTGGTTCTTGAAGCGCTGACTCCAGCTGCAGTCCACTCTTTGTGGATCTCCCCCACATTTTTGAATGGGTTTGTCGTCACAATTCTCTGCAGGGTGCGGTTATCCCTAGAGCTTGTACACTTTTTTCTACCACATTTTTTCCGTCCCTTCGCCTGTCTGTTAATGTGCTTGGACACAGAGCTCTGCGAACAGCCAGCTTCTTTAGCAATCACCTTTTGTGTCTTGCCCTCCTTGTGCAAGGTGTCAATGATTGTCTTTTGGACAGCTGTTAAGTCAGAAGTCTTCCCCATGATTGTGGTGCCTTCAAAACAAGACTGAGGGACCTTTTAAAGGCCTTTGCAGGTGTTTTGAGTAAATCAGCTGATTAGAGTGGCAGCAGGTGTCTTCTATATTCAGCCTTTTCAGAATATTCTAATTTTTTGAGATACCAAATTTGGAGTTTTCATTAGTTGTCACTTATGAATATCAAATTTAAATGTAATGAACATTGGAAATACATTGGTCTGTGTGCATTGCATGAATATAATGTACAAGTTTCACGTTTTGAATGGAATTACTGAAATATTTTCAACCTTTTGATGATATTCTAATTTACTGGCCAGCACCTGTATATCCATATAACGGGTGCGGACTGGCACCCATGGTGCAGCCTTGAAATAAGACATTATCTGCACCAAAACATCTCTATGTCGAAAGGTTTAGTTAGGAATCATTAACATGATTCCCCTGTTCGTTTGGAGCGGGTCTAGGATTTCTAGGCGTGAACAGACTAGCCGCGGCTAATCTAACCGGTGCTTTTAATTACGTCACTGCTGTGCGCCAATCTGTTTTTATTAAGATTACCGGTAGATGTACCTTTGTCCTACTGTGGAGAAATTCGTTTTCTCCCTTTATTGACCAACAGAGTTGTTCAAAAGTACAGAACAAAACATATGGCATTACATCTTATGACAAAAATGCACCTTAAACAGAGTTTAAGCAGCAAAACATCACTCTGCAAATAGTGTGTATATAGTGAGACAATTCATGATTTAAAGTGTTAACTTTGGCCAGTTTTTGTATGCACGTTTTAAAAAATGCTGATACTTGAAAGGTTTAAGCACTTAATACAATTAATTCTTAACATTTAATTTTTGCAATATAAATTGAGGAATGTTATTTTTTGAATAAACTTGTTCAATAAATTGGTGTTTTTAAATAGTATCGAAATCGAGTATCGAGTTTTTTCCAGTATCGAATCGAGTTTGAAATTTTAGTATCGTGACAACCCTAACACACACACAGACACACGCACTGTCTCTCACACACACACACACACACAAGCTCACACACACACACACACACACACACACACACACACACACACACACACACACACAAACCAGGGTTCCCACTCTATTCTTGAAATTATTTTCAAGACTTTTTCAGTGTACAAGTCAAGTTATCATAACTACGGTTTGCCGATATCCTGTTATATTTAGAAACAGATATGATATTGTACCTACCTACACCGTTATTTTGACAATATAGTTGGGGAAAGATTTTTGTCTTTCACAAGCCCACCTGCTTTCCTCTACTTACAATGCAACGCAACTAAAGCAGAAGTTATTCTCTACTTGAGTTCATACCAGAGGTGTGACATTGTGGCATCATCAAGTCATCTCCATGTCCTGTTTTTGTTCTGCTCAGCAATTGAACCAGGTTAATCCACTGTGCTGAATGAAATCGTTGTCGTCTTCCTCCGCTTATCCGGGTCTGGGTCGCGGGGGCAGCATCCCAACTAGGGAGCTCCAGACCGTCCTCTCCCCGGCCACCTCCACCAGGACCCCAAGGCATTCCCGGACCAGATTGGAGATGCAACCTCTCCAACGTGTCCTGGGTCGACCCGGGGGCCTCCTGCCGGCAGGACATGCCCGCAACACCTCCCCAGGTAGCTCCTAACCCTATCTCTAAGGCTGAGCCCGGCCACCCTATGGAGGAAACTCATTTCGGCCACTTGTATCCGCAATCTCGTTCTTTCGTTCATTACCCAAAGCTCATGACCATAGGTGAGGATTGGGACGTAGATCGACCGGTAAATCGAGAGCCTGGCTTTCTGGCTCAGGTCCCTCTTCACCATGACAGATCGGCTCAGCGTCCGCATCACTGCAGACGCCGAACTAATCCGCCTGTCGATCTCCCAATCCCTCCTACCCTCACTCGTGAACAAGACCCTGAAATACTTAAACTCCTCCACTTGAGGTAGGACCTCTCTTCCGACTCGGAGTTGGCAAGCCACCCTTTTCCGGTCGGGAACCATGGTCTCATATTTGGAGGTGCTGATCCTCATCCCAGCCGCTTCACACTCGGCCGCGAACCTACCCAGCAAGAGCTGAAGGTCAGAGCTGGATGAAGCTAGGAGGACCACATCATCCGCAAAAAGCAAAGACAAGATTCTCCTGCCATCAAACTCGACAGACCCCACACCACGGCTGCACCTAGAAATTCTGTCCATAAAGGTAATGAACAGAACCGGTGACAAAGGGCAGCCCTGGTGGAGTCCAACCCTCACTGGGAACAGGTCTAACTTTCTACCAGCTATGCAGACCTAACTCACGCTCCTCTGGTAAAGGGACTGAATGGTCCTTAACAGAAAGCCACCCACCCCATACTCCTGGAGCGTCCCCCACAGGGTGCCCCTGGGGACACGGTCATAAGCCTTCTCCAAATCCACAAAACACATGTGGATTGGTTGGGTAAACTCCCATGCCCCCTCCATCACCCTTGTAAGGATATAGAGCTGGTCCACAGTTCCACGGCCAGGACGAAAACCACATTGCTCCTCCTCAATCTGAGATTTGACTATTGATCGCGCCCTCCTCTCCAGTACTTTTCCAGGGAGGCTGAGGAGTGTGATCCCCCTATAGTTGGAAAACACCCTCTGGTCACCCTTCTAAAAGATGGGGACCACCACCCCGGTCTGCCACTCCACAGGAACTGCCCCCGATGACCACGCAATGTTGCAGAGACGTGTCAACCATGACAGCCCTACAACATCCATTGCCTTGAGATACCCAGGATGAATCTCATCCACCCCCGGGGCTCCGCCGCTGTGTAGTTGTTTGACTATCTCAGCAACTTCTGCCCCCGAGATTGGACAGTCCATCCCCATGTCTCCTGGCTCTGGTTCCTCCTCGGAATGTGCATAAGGGCGATTGAGGAGCTCCTCAAAGTATTCCTTCCACCGTCCGACTATAGCCCCAGTTGATGTCAGCAGCTCCCCATCCCCACTGTAAACAGTGTGAGCGAGTTGCTGCCTTCCTCTCCTGAGGCGCAGGACAGTTTGCCAGAACCTCTTTGGAGCCGATCGATAGTCTTTCTCCATGGCCTCACCAAACTCCTCCCACGCCCGAGATTTTGCCTTGGCAACTGCCACTGCTGCACCCCGCTTGGCTATCCGGTACCTGTCTGATGCCTCCAGAGACCCACAGACCAACCACGCCCTGTAGGCCTCCTTCTTCAGCCTAACGGCTCCCCGAACCTCTGGTGTCCACCAGCGGGTACGGGGGTTACCACCACGACTGGCACCGGTCACCTTGCAACCACAGCTAGCAACAGCCGCCTCAACAATCGCAGAGTGGAACAAGGCCCGCTCGGAGTCAACGTCCCCCACTGCTCTCGGGATGCGGTCAAAGCTCTGCCGGAGGCGGGAGTTGAAGACCGTCTTGACAGGTTCTTCTGCCAGGCGTTCCCAGCAGACCCTCACTAAGCTTTTGGGTCTGCCAGGTCTACGCAGCATCTTCCCCTGCCATCTGATCCAACTCACCACCAGGTGGTGATCAGTTGACAGCTCCGCTCCTCTCTTCACTCGGGTGTCCAAAACATACGGCCGTAGGTGATGATAAGACTACAAAGTCTATCATCGACCTGCGACCTAGGCTACCCTGGTACCAAGTGTACCAATGGGTATCCTTATGTTCGAACATGGTGTTCGTTATGGCCAAACTGCGGCTTGCACAGAAGTCCAATAATGAAACACCACTCGAGTTCAGATCAGGCGGGCCGTTCCTCCCAATCACACCCCTCCAGGTCATGCTGTCATTGCCCAGGTGAGCACTGAAGTCCCCCAGCAGGACATTGGAGTCCCCTGATGGAGCACTATCTAGCACTCGTCCCAGGGATTCCAACAAGGGTGGGTACTCTGAACTGATATTTGGCCCATAAGCACGAACTACAGTCAGGACCCGTTCCCCAACCCGAAGGCACAGGGAAGCTACCCTCTCATCCACCGGGGTAAACCCCAACACACAGGCAGAGAGTCTTGGGGCTAGCAAAAAGCCAGTTTTGAAAAGTTTTGAATTGGCACCGTCTTCCTGACATCACTCACTCCTGCCTATAAAGGACACAAAGACATATTTTGAAAGATTGTTACTGTTTATATTGACTGTTTATTCAACAAATTAGGCCTGCTTTTCAAACCTTAGCTCTTTCATATCTTTCATATTCTATGTATTATACTTACTGTACACACCACATTACACTTTACTGCTTATTCCACATAGTTGGATGTTAAACTGCATTTTGTTGTTCCAGTATTGGTCATTTTAGGTTAGTCCAGTCATCCAGAAACAAGATTCAGGGTAGATGGCTAGGCTAATATCTCCCGCTACCACCACAGACATATTGGACCTGAAAAATATTTTTTTTTCTACCTCAGAGATAAGTACTTGTAGTTGTTCGCTACCATTTTAGTCTGGACTTTACGTAGCATTACTATGATAAATATATAGTCACCACTTAAAATCATTCTAGTTATTAATTTAGCCGTGTTGAATTCAATTTAATTACGTTAACAACTTTGTTCAAATGACCATGCCAGTCTTCAGTTCTCACTGCCTCCTGGCTGCGATCTGTGTAGCTAGCTAAAAACAGTATGAACAGCTGAGGCTCTGTCCTCTGAGCACATACTTAGTATTTTTGATAGAATCAAATTCATGACATTTCTATCATTCACATATTTTTGTTTCTGCTGTTGGATGATAGAACTAGTATGAATTACTGAGTGGAGCGCGGGTCCGGTAGACTACCTGCTATCCGTCGCTATCCCGAAGCTCTCGTCATGTTCGCTCGTCTCAACGCATGAGTGAAAAAAACAAAAGCTCTCTGCTGCTCCTTTGTCATTAAACAGAGAGAAGGAGAAAAACCTCTCGCTCCATAAACTGCGATAAAGCAATACTCGTGAACCGAGTCGCTACTTTTGGCCCTTCTTTAGAGAAATAAATCTAGGGGTGAAAAATCTGTAAATCTAGCCAAAAAGACAGTTGGAAAAACAGAAGTGGAACTGGAACTGAAGGGGAATATGCAATCTGATTGGTTGGAAGCGTCATGTGGGGCGCTGTGCCAGCTAGATGCAGAAATTAAAGGAGAAGCGCTACAGCCCAATATTGCCCAAAATGTTTAATCTGTTTGTTTATCCACAAGGAGGGAAAATTATTTTCCAGGACAACTCAAAAATTTCCAGGACATTTTGCAATTCCACCCATTTTCCATGTGTTTTCCATGACTGGAAAATTGGACTATCATTTTCCAGGTTTTCCAGGTTTTCCAGGACGCGTGGGAACCCTGACACACACACACACACACACCACTACTCTGCTCCCTGTTCTGATTGCACAGATTGGTTATTGCGTTCGGTGCTAATTAAACACCAACCAGGTGTGGGGTGTGAGTCGTTACACACACCTCAGCTCATCCTGACAGAAACAAAACAGATGTGGTCTTCAGCCTGAGCGACAGCCCTTTTACTTTGTATTCTGCTCTCCTGCAGACGTGAACTTCATAGCCAGCCCTCCGTCGATGGTGGCAGCCGGCAGCGTGGTGGCAGCCGTTCAGGGCCTCTACCTGAAGAACCAGGACGCCGCCCTGTCCTCTCAGAACCTCACCAACTTCTTGTCCCAGGTCATCCGCAGCGACCCGGTACGTTTGAATTCGTTGACGTGACGGTTGTTGTGGCTGGCGTGAGGACGTTGACCCGATGCTGACCCTCTGTTTGCAGGACTGCTTGCGGTCGTGTCAGGAGCAGATCGAGTCCCTGCTGGAGTCCAGCCTGCGACAGGCTCAGCAGCACAGCGGCACAACGGAAAACAAACATGTGGAGGAGGAGGTGGACCCGTCCTCCACGCCCACAGACGTGAGAGACATCAACATCTGAGAATGGTGGACATCTGTCCTACAGTGAACTCGACGATCAAGAGGAAGTAGTTGTGGGAGGGTGCTGATGGGGGTAGGGGGACTTGCTTGGTCTCACCCTATACCCCTCCTCAATCCTTCTCCAACTTCCTAGTGGGCTGAAGGTCAAGAATGTCTCCTGCTAGCCTGCTGCCAGATCAGATCGGACACACCACAGCGTTCCTTCCCTCCAGGGGACTGCAGCTGAGACTACAGGGACGTCCTGGGGAGGACATGATGACCTGCAAGGGCTGGGCTCTTCCCTCACACGTTAAACTTGGAATCTTTAAGTCAGCGCACCTGAAGGTCCTCATCCTCAAGCAGATACTATGTTGTCTTTTCTATCTAAAGTGATTTAGTCTGTCCACGTCTTTGTCCCGTCTCCGGCTTGCTCGTGTTTAGTCACTTTATTTAGACTTTAGTCTGGTAGGTCTTCTGTTCCCAGCCAGAGGGGTCATGAGCTGCTTAAACCCTCTGATGCTGGTCCGACTCAAAAAAGCACTTTGGTCAGCAACGCTGACTCAGCTAAATGCATCCAGAACATTCCCAACACACAACTGCCAACCAGACGGCCTCCGAGCGACGGAGCCGTCCGAGTTTCAGCTGAGCAACTAAAGCCTCTCCAGGTTCCTCCAGAGAAGCCCCTCAGTCTAGATCCTGATCAGGACCACCCCCCCACCCTGCTCTGCCAGAACCTGGTGTCCCTTTAGACAAGCTGGTGGGTTCTGGGAAACCGATAAAGCTGACTCGAGGAGAGATGAGACGAGACTTTGCACAAACATGAACATGTGGGCGTGTTCCATAGGAACCAGTCCAGGTTCACGACACCCCCCCTCCCTGGTGGGGGGTCCCGGTGCTGTCAGGGCTCCTGAGGGGGGTGAGCGGGAGCTGCGGGTAGAGGGTGTACAGGAAGGAGTGAGGCACTCCGGGTTTTCTGCTGCTATAGAAACGAAACGACAGCTTCTGTCAAAGGAAACAAAATAAAGCAGACAAAAGAATTGAAACGACGCTTTTTCCTGTTTGCTGCTATCTGATCTGATTATTTTGTTTTGGGAGTATGCGTGTCTATAAACTGCAATTGTAGGCTTGAATTTTCTCATAGAAAATTGTTATTGACATCCTCATCTGTTGTCTTGTGTAGGTGATCAGCTGTTGTGTGTAATAGGGCTGCTCAATTAATCGAATTTTAATCACGATTACGATCTGAGTTTTGAACGATTATAAAAACAAAACAAGCCGATTATTTGCTCCTCCCACTTGCGCTGCCCTGAGTTGCAAATGAAGCGCTCCTCCCACAGTGTTGCCAACTTGGCGACTTTGACGCTATTTCTAACAGCTTTTCAGACCCCCTTCTTGACTTTTTAAATCTTAAAAGTACCTAGCGAACACCTCAGAAACATCTCTGGTAACCCTTAGCTACTTTCTGGATAACTGTCGTTGACATTTCCTGCAGGTTAGCTAAACACTCCGCCTGCGCTCCGGACCGTTCTTCAGGACATTAGGAAAGGAAATGATGTAGTGACGTGTCAGTCGCTAAAGAAATGGCTCTCAGAGCCGGCTCCCTGTTGGATTAACCAGAGTGAGTGACACACACACCGCACCTGTGGACTTCTGAGCAGCTAAAAACAGCTAAATGTGTGCGTGCGGCGTGCTAAACAGACGTGCAGCTTGCCCCCTGTGAGACCGGGGTGGGGGGGTGCAGCTGTGGTTGAGACAATTATTACATTAACTGATGGACCTGTAAATAAATAGTTTATAAATAAGGTAGAAATAAGTTCCTCACGCTGATAACTAATAACTAATCTCCCTGAGGACACGGTGCTAGTGCACTCTCCTACAGCACCTTGACATGACTAAATAAATGTTATGCAACATTTTGTGAACATCAATTTATTTGCATTTATTTGTTATAAATGCCACTGTATAATTCTTGCTGTCAGTATTTGCAAGATATTGGTATTTGGGTCTGTACTGGTTAGACTTAAATGAGTTAAACCAAGGTCTATAGCCCTTGGGTCATAGACTATGAGCTATAAGTATATTGGTCTTTTTATACTGGGAATCAGGAGTTATTTTAGTGGTCATCTTGTTTCTTATTTATTTTGTCCTGATTGTGCCCTGAGCAATTTTATGACTGAATAAAAACAAATAAAATCAACATAAATTGAAAAATCGTCCTAAATAATCGTGATCTCAATTTCAGTCATCGTGATTATTATTTTTGCCATGATCGAGCAGCCCTAGTGTGTAATATGTCAGACGAGTCTCCAAACGTTGTAAAACTCAGCTAATGCACGGAGATGCCTAGATCCACAATACCTCATGTCCAGATTTACAGTTGGTTCTGTTCTGCTCGTCGGGTTTAACCAGCTCTGTTGAACCTGCAGGGGGCGGGGCTTCTGAACTGGAAACCAGACTGGTGCCATAAAGGAAATGGGATGTGTAAAACTGTCTCTCTGACGGAGACTTTCTCCACATCGGGTCCATGGCGGCCTCTTCCTCTCGTTGTATTTATCAGAGAAGAGCTTTGTGCTGCGGGCATTGGCGGCTCCAGCCCAGTGGGTAGGCAGATGTTCATAAGCCGTAGAGTCCTGTCTACACCACAGCAGCCGTCCGCCACGGAGACAAACCATGTATTCATCTTTGTGTCGACAACACAATAAAGAAATCAACTTGACCGAATCTAAAAAGCTGTTTTTGTCCTGAGGAACCCACCGGTCTCATAACATCTAGGAACCCTGTGAGAGCTGGTCCCAAGCATGAGGGAGGAGGTGGGACATGAGACCTGTTGTCCACTAGAACCAGTCTGACCAGTCTCTGGTTGTGGGTTTCAATCCCAGTAGATCTGCATGTCTCATCTTCATTCTGGGGCTGGCGTGTGTGTGTGTGTGTGTGTGTCACATGTACTGGAGTTGTGTTACCCAGAGGTTGTTTCTGCATATTGCTGTGGACACGTTAGAATATGCCTGTCCTCCACATCCTCTACCCTCACACCAACTAACTTTGTGTCCTACTTCACCACATCCACAGGTCTTCCTCTCAGCCTCCTGCCTGGTGGCTCCATCCTCAGCATCCTTCCACCTGTGTCATCCTAACATCTAACATGAGCTGTCCCTCTGATGGACTCATTCCTGATCCTATCCATCAGGGACGTCACTAGGATTGAGAGATGGGGGGGGGGGGGGGGGGGGGGGCTTAGCCCCATGAGCTTGACATTAAACATTTTAGTCACATCCTGCAAAGACCTTTTCAGTTAATTCATTACGTGAAGAACATTTATCAGCGAGGTTTATGTTGAAGACAGATGTTAAATGTATCCATTAAAAATTAGATATGTTATAATTCCAAATGAAGCTGTTCATTTCAGGCCTAGTCCACACGTAGCCGTTTTTTTTAAACGAATATCCGCCCCTCCAAAAACTTGCATCCACACCACCTCGTTTTAAAAGAAAACTGTCCACACGTACCCGGATAAATACGTTGTTAAGCACATGCCAGACCTGTGGGCGGCAGTACTTCCCCTGTTCTTAACCTCGTCCTTCGTCTGTGGTCTTCCGCAAGGAGCAGTAATTCCGCTTGCAAAAACAAACAAGCAAAAAGCGCTTGGACAATTGATAAAGCGAGCGCAGCTCTGAGGGCATCCATGCTGTCGGCTAGTGTAAACACAGGTCGCACACATGATGTCAGCATTTTTTGTCGTGGAAAGTGACGTTGCGGACCTTAAAACTCCGGTTTTGTCCGTCCACACGCAGACACCCAAAACGGAGAAAACGCAGATCTTCACTTTGGCCGGAGTTTTTAAAAAGATCCGTTTTCATGTGAAAAACTCCGTTTTCGTGTGGATGACAGGCCAAAACGTAGAAAATTATCTACGTTTTGGCAGATCCCCGGCTACGTGTGGACAGGGCCTCAGTCTACTGCACCTAACAGGTTTACTTCATTAGTTTAATTACAACTAGCTCAGTTCACAATCATACTGAAATCTGACACTAAAGGACAAATGAATGTTTGTCAAACCTTTTTTTCTGCCAGATGAGTTTCCAGTTGAGACAGTTTTAATAACTAAATAACATTGATATATGGAACAAAGGAGGTGTCCTTGAATCAACAAATAAAATACAAAATAACAGTAAATAAAAACTGTCCAGTAAGAATTCCTCTTTAACTGAACAAAGGGCAGTTTAACTGTTTCAGGAACGGGCAAAGTGTCTCTTTTTGGAAGTCTAACTATGGACTCCCGATCCATGACACGTATCACTTTGCAGCTGGTGGACGGTGACTGGTTGCTAAGCAGCAGAAAGCAGCTCAGTAAGCTGTTGATTGGCTGTTTGTCTGGAAAGCAGTATTTCCTGGACATGCTGTGATTGGATGAAAGAGAGCTGTCTGTGATTGACTGGCGAGGAGGCTGCTTTGTAAGTTGTGAGATGGACAGCAGATTGTTTTGGTCTAAATGAAATGATTGTAAATACTACAACTAGTGATATGATGATATGTATATATAACCCTGTTTCTCTCTTACTAGACAGACAGACCTAGGTCAACCTGTATGGATGTTTTCCTCATATAAACACCAGTGGTGTAATGTATGATTACCGGTATTATACATTATAGTATTATTATATAGTAGTATACATATAATATTATTATACTAGGGCCTGAAAGACTGTGAACCAAAGACAGGGGCTTAGAACAGAACCAGAAAGCATGGCTGCTTTCACTTGTGTCTTCTACACAAGAAGCCCTTTTATTACACCTAACACATTTCACCATGCTCCAACCTCATCTCCCTGCTCTCACACCTCCCTGCTGTCTCACAGCTTCCTGCTGTTTCACAGCTCCATGCTGTCTCACAGCTCTCTGCTGTCTCACAGCTCAATGCTTTCTCACAGCTCTCTGCCTTCTCACAGCTCCATGCTGTCTCACACCTCCCTGCTGTCTCACAGCTCCATGCTCTCTCTCACCTGCCTGCTGTCTCACAGGTTCCTGCTGTCTCACAGCTCCATGCTGTCTCACAACTTCCTGCTGTCTCACAGCTCCATGCTGTCTCACAACTCCCTGCTGTCTTACAGCTTCATGCTTTCTCACAGCTCCATGCTGTCTCATAGCTTTCTGCTGTCTCACAGCTCCATGCTGTCTCATAGCTTCCTGCTGTCTCACAGCTCCACGGTGTCTCACACCTCCCTGCTGTCTCACAGCTCCATGCTGTCTCACAGCTTCCTGCTGTCTCACAGCTCCATGCTGTCTCTCACCTCCCTGCTGTCTCATAGATTCCTGCTGTCTCACAGCTCCATGCTGTCTCACACCTCCTTGCTGTCTCACAGCTCCCTGCTGTCTCTCACCTCCCTGCTGTCTCACAGATTCCTGCTGTCTCACAGCTCCATGCTGTCTCACACCTCCCTGCTGTCTTACAGCTCTATGCTGTTTCACACCTCCCTGCTGTCTCACAGCTCGCTGCTGTCTCACACTTCCCTGCTGTCTCACAACTTCCTGCTGTCTCACAGTTCCATGCTCTCACACCTCCCTGCTGTCTGACACCTCCCTGCTGTCTCACAGCTTTCTGCTGCCTCATGGCTTCCTCCTGTCTCACAGCTCCATGCGGTTTCATAGCTTCCTGCTGTCTCATACCTCTAACACATGTCTCTGCCACACCAGACATCCTAATGCTCCACAGCTCCTCAGCACGGTCAGTCACTTTCTCTCAACAGCAGAAACAGCACATGCAGTGATGTTTCTTAAGCCTGAGTCATGCTTCTCTGTCTGCGTCAGTGTGGAAACATTCAACGCCATTATCCGTCCTTGCATAGGGCCCTGGCAGGCACGCAAGTACATACGGAGTCAAGCCCACTTTTTTAAACATCCATCTGTCGAGACGGAAAACGCAAGCTTGTGATTGGTCAGGACGCCGCTGTTGTCTACACCGCCGCCATTGTGCCCTCAAAAACATGAAAAGAGACCAGAATAACTAGCGGCAGACACGGAGAAGCTTGAAGAATACCTTGTGAAAAACTCTAAAATATGAACGTTTAATTCCTCCGTGACTGGAGGAGTGAAAAGATGCGCAGCAAGCATTTTATTTGTGGACTGACATGACAGGAAACGTGGGTTTAGAGGTGGTGAGCGCATGAAAAGGTGGAGGAGAATGAGAGACAAATTTGTCAGTGTTAAAAAGTCTCTCATATACAAAAAACACAATATAAACACACTACCTTGGACCGGATACATTACAGGATACCACAGAACAGCAGTATGCCCTCTGTTGTCCTGGCGGGGAATTGCTTTGCAACACTCCAGGAGACGGAGAAGTATGAGAGCAAAATGCTTCCGTCAGTCCTTGCGTGACGGAGAAGCATGAATCAGGCTTTAGCAGGAAATCGTTCTGCTGCTCACAAATGCTCTCATCTGACCTAATCCTGGCTTCCACCACTTTTTCCCAAAGCCTCACTGTAGGAAATTGCCACATTTCTGCACGTCTCCCTTGTTCTTAAAATGGGCGTGAGAACACTTTAACTCCGATAGTCAGGCATCCTCTTACTCATCAAGATCTTGTTGGACAAACTAGTCAAAGCTCTCTGGCCACCTCTCCATTTCCAAATCTCCACAGTTATGTCATCAGGACCGACTGCCTTCTCCTCTTCTTCATCTTCAAAGCTTTCCTCACTTCATCCCTAATAATCTCAGCTACTTCCTCATCCACAACAGTCTCCTGCTCTCTTCTACGTTCTCTTTCATTTTCCTCATTCAGCAGCTCTTAGTTGTCTTTCCATCTTCCCATCATACAGCTGACACCTGTCATTACATTTCCATAATAACTCGAATCAGGAGCTTAACATGCAGGTCATCATTCGCCCTCTGTCTGGCCTTTGCCACTATAGCTTCACCATACACTGCATCTCCTGTCTACACTCATCAGTCCTCTCTTCAGACCACACTAACTTTATTTTTATGGCACATTGCAACAGTATAAAACTGACCAAAGTGCTTCACACTACACAATACATTAAAAACAACTCTTATGAGTAACCTAATGTCCCTGCCTCTTCTGGAAGAAAGCATTTCCATCCTTTTCACATCTACAAGCATCTTTTTCTTTTCATTCCAGTCCTTCATATAAATGTGTCTTCATCACTGCTTCTCCCTTCAGCTACATGCCTGTTAAAGTCTGCACCAATCACCACTCTCACCTCTGGGGACGCGCTGCATCAGATCATCTAGCAGACTCCAGACAGAGTTCTGCTTCTCTTCTAGCTCATATCCTACCTGTGGGTAGAACCACTAACAACATCCAGAACCAGCTTGTCTGACACTTCCAGAACATTCCTAACCCACTCCAGTCTCCTGAGCTTCTAGTCTTGCTGCCTTACCACCTGGTCTCCTGAACACCTCCACCTCCCGGTTCTGCATCACGTCCACCAGCGTTACAGCTTCACCTGGAATAGTTCCAACATTCAGAATTTCCACTCTTGCCATTCTCTATACCAGTGGTTCCCAACCTTTTTCCCAAGGGACTCCTTTTTTATCAGTAAAATTTTTGACGACCCCCTCCCATTCTCTCTTCCAGTACAAACAGTGTTAAGAAATTATAAAATTGTTCAAGCACATTTTAATATGCTTTGATTCAATAGATAACAGTAATAGTAGACTCCAGTACAGAACAAAGTCATTAACAAAACCAAACAG